GTTGGGGGGGGAGAGCGGGAGGCGGGCTGGCTGACTGACCCCCGCCCTGAGGGGGGGGCCGCCGGCCGGCAGGTGTGAGGGACGGGCCTGGCTACGCTGCCCGCCGGCACCTGCTCGGCGCCGGAGGAGGAGAGCTGGCGCCTCCCGGTCCCACACAACCCCCCCTCACCCCCTCCGTTATTATTAATTCACCTCTGCGGGGCTCGTTCGTGGCGTTGGGGAGCTTTTCTCCGGCCCTTTCGAGGTGACGGAGTGCCGTAAGAAAAAAAAAACCAACCCCAAAACCAACCAAACTACCACAAGAAATCCTGTGAGACCTGGTCTAAAGCTGTTGAGTTGCTACCAGCGATGTCAAACGCTGTTTTCCCGGCCCGCCGCCTCACTTCTCCCAGCCAGAAGTGCCACCGCCGCTGACGGGGAGCCCTGGTGGGAGATGGGGCGTGTGGTGGTCCCCATGGCGGGCACGCTCCTCGGGCTACTCGCTGCTGCCACAACGTCCAGAGTGTGTTTTATAGCCTCGCTTTCGGACGCTGTCACGCCAAGGTACTACGTTAATAGGTGGTTTGTACCTACACATATGGTATCGCGTGCAATTAATTGCGTTTGCTCTGGCCGCCCTGAAGAACAGGGTGCTCTGCTCTTACGGTGGCTTCGCTTCCTGCCTCTGGCAGCTTGCTTAGCCTCCCTCTGAATCACAACAAACTTCTGTTTCCTATCATTGTTTGTCCTTTGGCTGCCGCAGACCAGCGGCTTGCGGTATTTATTTGTCGTGAGATGGCCTTTAGAAGTTCCTGAGATGGGCACAACGCTGCATTGTCTTACGTGCTGTGCGAGAGCAGAACAAATGGTCCATGCTCCAGAACGTGGGTATAAAGCAGCACGTGAGCTCGGTTTGGAATAGAGGAGGGAGAGAGCAGGAAGGATGAATAATTTCCAATGTTCTCACCTTTTGGGGAAGACGTGTATATTGGTGGTACTTTGCGTCCCTCTAGATAAAACACTTCTGCACTGAATTATCCCCCTTAAGGACCGCAGTTGTGCTCCTTTGTGAGTTTGGTGACACTCCTGACACCTTTTTTTTTTTTTTTTATAAATGGATACCATAAAATATGTTACTTGTCTCTGAATAAAAAGGAAGACATGTCTCTTAGATCTGGAGATCAATGCAGGAAAGCAAAAGGGCCTTAATGCTGGCTTTTAATTTCTGTATTTTATAAAGGCCTGTGCCTGCATAAGCAAGAAGTACCAAGGTCTCTGAAAACTGGTTGTATTTTTCACTAAGCCCAGATAGGTATTGAGTCATTCCAGATACCTTCCTTTTCAGACTGTTTGATGGCACGGTCTAAGTTTTTGGGGGATGTGAATACTAGGTGGTACTAGATTGGAAGGAGTATTACGGATAGGATATTTCACATATGTGAATATACAGCCAAGTCAAGGCTGAGTAACATTGCCAAGCTGTCTGAGCTGTGCTAATTCACTGATCAACAGAGGCATTCAATAACTAGACCTGGTGAGCCACCACTAGCACTTGGATTCAGACGTGAAGAATTGTGGATATTTCAGTCTGTTTACACTGAGGTGTCTGCTTGAGTTCTTAACGAGGATTCGGGCATCCTTGGTGTTTCTCTGCTGTGTTCAAACACTTACCAACACTCAATTCATCCAGTGATGGTATTTTTGATGATATGAAACATCCAAAAAGCAAAACAAGATGTAAGGGATTGTGCACATCTAGAAGGATCAAGACATGTGGCAACACTTTTTATGCCATCTTTTATCCAAGTATTTCAGAATGATTTACAAGCATTAATTAATGTATTACAACACTCCTACTTAATCTCTAGTTTTTAATATTCTTCAATAGCAGAATATTTAAACGTGACCTGTTCTGCAGGTTGTATTTTCACTTGGCTCAGCTTCTTCAAAATGCTCGTCATGTTGCCACATGAGTAGGAAATTATAGCTAAAAATATTGCTATTGTACGTGTGTGCGCGTGAATATATATATATATACTTCCCATTGTAGGTATTTGGCTTCTTTCTTTTTTACAGACAGAATGTAAATTATGGTCCATATTCATATTTTACCAATTATTTTTTTATAAAAATAGAATAAATATGTCATCTATGTAACACCATTTGCATGAATGTCATAGTAAAGAGGTGTCTCTTACTCAAATAGCTGCTTATTCTTCAGCATGGGTGGTTTTTTGCTTGCAGGATTCCTTTAGCAGAGCAAAGCCTTCTGGCCATCCAGGAAATATTACAAAAACTGTAGTAGTATAGGGTTAATCTTGTCAATCACATGTTTATCAGGACCACAGGAATCACGAATGAAGCATATCTTTCTCTCTTTTCCTTCCTAGTTTTGAGGCTGAATGGGAGCATGGCAAATGGCATATAAATTAGGATGACTGTTGGTAACTAGGATCAGGGAGCCTGCCCAGACTTTCGTACCACTCCAGAAGCATCAGTCTGTTTTCAGCCCCACTGGTGCTGCACATAAGCCTTGCATCCTTTGCAGACCTAGCTAATGTAGCATATGAAAAGAAACAAATATGGAGAGGTACAAATATGCTCATTTTTGGTATGCAAACAATAAAAACCAGTTTTGTTACATGGGTGCAGCATCATAACATTGTTTCAGTTATGTCATTATAGGCACAATATCAATAGAGCTATCTATATCTGCATTAGGATTTGCTCCCATTTAATTACATTAAAAATAATAATCAGGTAGTTTGGTGCAAATATTGTACAGACCTTAGCATAAATTGCCTAGCATTTTTGTGAGGTACTTGATGCAAAGTGCTTTAAGGGCTTTGGGCTTTCTCTGGGCTGTTGCTGTTATTACTAGTAAAAGGATGAGTTTTACCCCAAGTAGATATGTTAAATGTCAGCACAGTTGCTGTCTCCTCTTTCTTTTAAAATGTTTTTTTGCATGCCTTTCTCATGTGAATTTGGGGGGCGTTTCCCTTTCCTACCTTTTGGCTTTTCATTTCTATTTTCCTTTCGCTTTACACTCCAGATCTTTTTTCCCTCTTCTAAGATCAATCTGTTTATGCATTTTTAATGAATCATTTACTGTGACATATGAGCACTGAAGATACAGTGTCAGGGACTTACGCATCTGCGGAGAGCTTCTGTGCAGGAGTAGCAGCAGCAAGATGAAATGGATGTGATCTTAGTTTCATTCTTTTGTTCATGTGGGATGGTACTTTGCCTAGAGGCAGCACAAATATAACCTTCCTTCTCAGGAATAATGAGAAGAATTAAAACCCAGCAATGTCTCATTTTTCTCTTCAGAGCACTGCTAGGAATAGAGAATTTCAGCTGTGCCCTTGCTTCTTCCACACTTACCACTGAATCAATACTGTTTACGCAGAAACAGCATTATAGGTAAGGAGCTATTGTGCGAGACTCATTCATAGTATCTGTAGAAGCATTTTTAAAATGTAGAGTGGGAAACATGGGGTTTATAATATCAGGAGTGACATCAACAGATACAACCCTTGTCATTATCTCATTAATCTTCCCTCATGGTCTAAGTAATTCTCCCTTTGAAACTCTGAAGGAAGAGGACCACGTTCATACACTGTCCTTGTGTAACTGAAACGAAAATGACCAAAACAGCAAGAACTTCATCTCTCTCAGGGATCTCCTCCTTACCAGCCAGCTTAACTTTCATGCAGTGGGAAAAAGTGCAGATGCTGGACGACAGCCTAATTTTTTAACAAAAATGGGTAAATAACTGCTTTAAGTTATTTTTAATTTCACTTGAGTATGCATGACTTATGTGAAACTCATAATATTTAAAAGTTTTAATACAAATTTTCAGGTTTAGTGGACTGGATAGATCAATAAAATTACTACAAATTATTCAGTATTTTGCATTTTATACTCTGTTCCAAAACTATGGAGATACTTTACAGTTATATGGATAACACAGCTTTA